ACCTCCTTCTACCATATGTTGTTGTGAGTGTTTCCATGTGCCATGAACCCCTCTGCTATTACCTGAGGTACAGGTGGTAGATACCCTGTCATATCCTGTTAAACAGGCCCGGTTTCATGGGGACATAAGGCAAAAGTGACTGAAGAGAATGGAAGAAGCTTACAATGAATTTCCGGGGAAATGAAAAACAGCTCCCAAGTCTTTGTCCATCTCTGGGTTCTCATTCTGCCTCTCTCACTTTGCTCTGTGTGTCCTCGTGTTTTCTCTCTCATTCTTATATTCCCTCTCCCTCTCTCTTCTTTTCTCTCCTTTACTCTCTTCCCCTCTATGTTCTCTGGCCCAGGCCCTGATCAAGGTAGTACACATTGGTGAGCAGTAGGAGTTTTCTGCAGGATGGCAGACACAGAAAGTCACTCTTGCTGACTTAGGAGGCCTCCACCATGGCACAGTTGTGGAGAGAGTGTTCACTCCCTGACTCACTTAATCATCATCCTTTTGTCGATGGAACTAAAAGCCCATTTACTCCAGGTTTCATACTTTGCCTCTCTTGCTCTAGAAAAGCTCTTCATTCCTCTTAAGGATTGTGTGCTGACTGCCCACTGGCCTCCACAAAGAAAGATGTTAACAATAAGTACTACATTTGAGCAAGTCACAGCAAAGAAAGAGACGGGATACTTGTAGACGATGGCTTATAGGAGCTCATTTTTCCTTGTGCTTTTGGATAAGAAATGAGTGGGAGTCTTTAACTTGTTTTCTTGCTTTTCGGAGGCCTTCTCTTGTGTGCTATTTTGTGGTTTTGGTTTTTGATGTTTTTTTGTTTTAATTAAAAATTGAACTTGGAGTCCTAAGTCCACGCTGGCATGATGCTCTTACTCTCCCTAGAGGTGCTGCCATGGAAACTCGGCTTCTCCAAGTCACCTGGGTCTTCTCCAGATGTATGCAGAGTTGATGCTAATCTGGTCCATGCCATGCATTTGAAAAATCAGTATCTTATCATTTGAGCCAGGGAACTGAAGACAAAATTCAAGCCTCGACTTTCATTATTGAAAGATTCTCTGGGCAAATTATTGAATGATGCAGAATGCATCAAGAAAAGATGGAAGGAATACACAGAGTCACTGTACCAAAAGGAAATGGTTAATGTTCAACCATTTCAAGAGATACCATATGACCAAGAGCCAATGATACTGAAGCAGGAAGTCTAAGGTGCATTGAAGGAATTAGCAAAGAACAAGGCACTAGGAATTGATGGAATAAAAATTGAAATCTTTCAAGAAAGTGAGGCAGTACAGGAGGCACTCATTCATCTCTGCCAAGAAATATGGAAGACAACTATCTGGCCGACTGATTGGAAGAGATCTGTGTTTGTGCCCATTCCAAAGACAGGTGACCCAACAGAATGCGGAAATCATTGTACAATCTCTTTGATATTCCATGCAAGTAAAGTTTTACTAAAGGTAATACAGAAACAGCTGCAAGTATACAATGACAGAGAACTTCCAGAGGCTAAAGCTAGGTTCAGAAGAGGCTGTGGAACGAGGGATATCATTGCCTATGTCTGATGAATCATGGCTGAAAGTAGACAATATCAGAAAGATGTTTACCTGTGCTTCATTGACTATGCAAAGGCTTTCAATTGTGTGGATCATGACAAGCTATGGACAACATTGCGAAGTAGAGTATTCCAGAACACTTAATTGTGCTCATGAGGATTCTACCTGGACCAAGAGGCAGTTGTTCGAACAGAACATGGGAACACTGAATGGTTTAAAATTAAGAAAAGTGTGTGACAAGGTTGTATTCTTTCACCATATTTATTCAACCTCTATGCTGAGCAAATCATCCGAGAAGCTGGCTTATATGAAGAAAAACGTGGCATCAGGATTGGAGGAAAACTCATTAACAGTCTGCGATATACAGATGATACAACCTTGCTTTCTGAAAGTGAAGAGGACTTAAAAGATTTACTGATGAAGATGTAAGAGCACAGCCTTCGGTATGGATTGCATCCAATGTAAAGAAAACAAAAATCCTCACCACTGGACCAATAAATAACATTCTTATCAACAGAGAAAAGATTGAAGTTGTCAAGGACTTCATTCTTCTTGGATCAACTATCAACACTCACAGAAGCAACAGTCAAGAAATCAAACGATGTATTGCATTAGGCAAATCTGTTGCACAAGAACTTTTTAAAGTATTGAAGAGCAAAGATGTTAGCTTGAGGACTAAGGTGCACCTGACCCAAGCCATTGCATTTTTAATGACTTCATATGGTGTTGGAGGAGAATATTGAAAGTGCCATGGGCTGCCAAAAGAACCAATAGATCTGCATTGGAAGAAGTGTAGCCAGAGTGCTCCTTGGAGGCCAAGATGACCAAACTTCATCTCTTATACTTCAGACATATTGTCAGGAGGGAGCAGTCACTGGAGAAGGATATCATGTTTGGTAAAGTGGAGGGTCAGAGAAAAAGAGGAAGACCCCCAACGAGATGGATTGGCCAAGTGGCAGCATCGATGGACTGAAGTGTGGCAACAGTAGTGAAGTTGGCCCAGGATCGGGCAGTGTTTTGTTCTGCTGTGCATAAGGTCGCTATGAGTCAATACTGATTAGATGGCACCTAACAACAACAACAGTGTGTACTTCTCCCTGGAGTGGAAAAGATGCTGTAAGTCAAGTCTTCACCCCCTTGTAGCAGCCCTGTCTTCCTCCCTCCAACCAGTTTGCCATCCCTAGTGATTCACATAGAATCCTGAGTAAAGGAGAGGGATGGATCCATTCCTCTGTTCCTGTTGTTGTTGTTAAGTGCCATCGAGTTGGTTCCAACTCATAGCAACCCTGGCTAGGATATACAAGGAGCGCCTGGTGGCTTTGAACTGCCGACTTGTGGTTCAAACTGACTTGCAGTCCAGCACATTAACCTGCAGCAGCACCACACCAGGACTCTAGCATATGTGTATATAATTACATATTTACATACAGGTATTCCCCCACTTTTTAAAAGTTTGCCTTATACCATTTCACTTTTACAAAAGCCCTTCACGTGTACCAATTTTCACTCACCAAAAGAAATCTGAAGAGGATTTTAACTTTTACCAAAAAAGAGGCAAAAAGTGAAATTAGCATTCAGTGTTGTTTTTCAGCAAGCTTTAAAGAGGCAGTATGCATCCCAACCTGCAAGAGTGGTATCACCAAGTTCCTTCCTGAAAGTTATATTCAGCATCTCAGAATCAACTTCCCTCCCGGGAACTACACTGAGCATCTCAGAATTGAGCCATTGTAGTTTTGAACTGTGTCCTCAAGTCAATTCCAACTCATAGCAACCCAGAGTAGAACAGCTCCATGGGGTTCCCGAGACTACATTTTTGCAGACTGCCTCATTTTTTCTGCAGAGCAGCTGGTGGATTCAAACCATGGACCCTACAGTTAGCAGCCCAGCTCTTCACCCTCTGTGCCACCAGGCTCCTGAGAACACTACATGTTAGTGTTATTTTAAGTTTTATATGTTATTTAGTAAGTTATTTTCGGGGTCTGGGAATGCTCAAAACTATTTCCCATATAAATTAATGGTAATTACTCCTCTTTATGGGCTCCTGGTATGGCACTGTAGGGTCAGCACTAGACTCTGAACCACAAAGTCAGCAGTTCAAACCCACCAACTTCTCCTTGGAAACCTTATACAAAGTCTCTATCAGCCAGAATCAACTCAACGGCACTTAACAATAACACCACCAACTCCTCTTTATGCTCTTTTGGCTTATGAAACATTTTATAGTATTGCTCTACTTTTGGATAGCAGAGAAAACCTCTTGTGTGTGTATACGTGTATAATATATATGTAATATATGTAATGTGTATATATACACACATACATGTGAGAGAGTTTGGTTGATTTTAAGGAATTGGCTCACACAAAAGTCCAAAATCTGTAGATCCAACAAAAGACTAGAGAGATTCCTGAAGGTTTATATTCCCAGACCTGTAGGTCAGGTGATAGGAAGAGTGAAGAGCAGATAAGTTCTGGTCAAATTGTCCCTTTATAGTCTGGAGGCAGAATACGCTCTAGAGAAAAGTTCCTTTTAGCTATTAAGGCCTTCAGCTGATTGGAGGCCCTGCACATTATAAGGGTAACCTACTTTACTTGAAGTCAATTGAGTTGTTAATCACCTGTAACTGCTTCATAACAGAATCCACAGTTTGATCAAACAACTGGGCACCATAGCCTAGCTGAATGGATACATAAAATCACTTTCACAAAATACAATGTCCTTACAGAAAAAGGTACATATCATAAAGGAACCAAGCCACCCAGAGTGTGGAGGCTCTGTAGGATAAACACACTGGACTGTGAATGAAAGGCTCTGAGGTTCAAACTCACCAGCTGATCTGTAGGCAAAACACGAGGCTTTCTGCTACCTCAAAGATTTACAGCCTCAGAAACCCTATACAAGGTCACTATGAGTCGGAACCAACTTGACAGCTCTTAACAACAACAACAACCAAGTGAACTCACCCTGCAAAACAAGCACCCAGATCAAGAAACTGTTCCCAGAGGTTCAAGTCTTGTTCTCACCCTCTTGGGAAACCATTGTCTGTGACTACTAACAACATAGAGTAACATTGTCAGTTTCTGTCTTGTAGTTCAAGAAATGAAATCATACAGTGTTGTCTTGAGTGTCTGATATTTCTTATTCAATCTTGTTTGTTTCATGTAGTTGTAGATTATCATTTTCATTGATGTTTAGATTTGCTTCTTATATTTTTATGTTTCTTCCAAAGAATTTGGACACTTTCTTTTCCTTGGCAAGAATCCTTTACCAGCTGCCTCTGTTTCATCAACTTTTAACTCCCCTCCTCTTCCTGCCTTGTCAGTGTAAATTTTAAAAGGCAAGAGATGTAGGGACGCCTGAGAGACCCAAGGCATTATTTAACTTGGCCAAAGGAAGTAGAAGATGTGCAGACACATGCTTCCTGCCCAGCAGCTGCAGTGACAGCCAGCCAAGAGACCACACATGTCGCCTGGTTCACCTGCCTGTGTTTAGCTGATGGATTTCTTTTTCTTCCTAGGTGTACCTGAAGCTGAAGTCACTTGGTTCAGGAATAAAATCAAACTGGCTCCTCCTCATCATCCTCACGAGGGCTCCTTGCTACTCACAGATGTGTCCTCCTCAGACCAAGGCCTGTACTCCTGCAGGGCGGCCAATTTGCACGGACAGCTGACTGAGAGCACACAGCTACTGATCCTTGGTAAACCCCTCAAGGCTGCCTGCACCTCCCCCCACCTCCCCACCCCACCCCAACCCCGTGGACCCATCGGGGTGACTATCTAACCCACCCACAGCTCCTTTTTGACAGATCCATTTAAGAACAGAAAGGCAACATAAACACCCCCTTCACTTCTCCCCAGTTTAGGCCCTTCAAGTAGAAAGAATATAGAGTTTGGAGCCAAGCAGACATGAGATTAAGCTCTGACTTCTGCCATTTATTTACTCACTTTGAGCAAGTTACTCAACTCTGCTAAGGCTTAAATGCTGCTCTCTTGATGTGAAGACCTAGAAAATAAAGACCGCCCACCTTGCCACACAGAGTTTGTGTCAAGAGAGATATAATATAGGTAAGACAATTGTGCTTAGCTCCTTCCAGGGTAAGGACTTGTTTGAGAATAAGATAAAAGCTAGAGACTACCTCCTTCCCAAAAAATTCATGGAGGTAAACTTTTTCATATAATTTCAGGAAGATTATGGCCTAGTCTACCTAAAATCCACACGTTTTCCCCCAAAATAAAAACCCCTAATTCTTGGTCAAATCAAACCAAAAAACCATACCTGTTGCCATTGAGTCAAGTTCTAGCAACTGTCTAGGGAAGAATAGGACAGCCCTGTAGGGTTTCCAAGGCTATGAGTTTTACAAAAGCAGATTGTCACATCTCTTTTCCATGGTGTAGCTGGCAGGTTCAAACACTCAACCTTTCAGATAGCAGCGAAGCACTTAACCATGGTGTCACCAGGGCTCCTAAAAGTGTTAAATGGGTCCTTAAGACTCAGAACAATACTTGGTTGTCTAGTGCTTGCCCTAGGCATGTAGCATGCGATAATCCTTTCTGTGCCCTGGACTCAAGTCACTCAAGTTTTCTTCTCCATTGAGTCTGGGCGCTGTGGGAATGGAGCAGCAAAGCTTATATTTGAGTTCCCCTTTAGAGAAAAAAAAAATTATTAGAGAACTCATGCTAGCTTTCTTGTCAAGAGAAAGTGATCAAAGAGAAACAAAAAGAAAAATGGGAGCCATATACATCATTACACACCACGCATACATGTACATATACTTATGAACTTCCTGAGGGAAGAATAAACTATATACTTCTATTTTCATACCCTAAATGGCAGATATACCAAAGCCTAGCTTACCTCACCCCTGCTCACTCTGATCTGATAGAGGTCTTGATGGGCTTCTGTCTCCCCAGTGATTATGCAAGCCTCAAGCCATCTTAGGAAGTCACAGAAAACCAGCTCTCGTTTGCTTGGTGTTGAGTTTCATCCAGCGCTCTGCTAGTCCAGTGCGCAGGAGGATCAAGTGCCCCACACTGGGATATGGTGTTTACTGATGGGCTTTTCCTTCCTAATCACCCTTCCTCTTCACCTTCTGTGAACAGAGATGAAAGTCTAGGATGTGCTGCTGCTGCTGCAGCTTTGCCAGTGGAGTGTGATGTTCTGTGAGCCAGTCCTTACAACATTCCAGCTCTAATACGGTGTGACCAGGGCACCGTGTGTGAGGAATTGCTTCACCACGTAACCAAACATGAGGGGAAAATCACTATTGAGACTTAACTGTAGGGCTTTTCCTAATCAAAAGTCTTGTTTGGTTTATTAGTCAAAGTGTGTTACTTTTTATAGATAATCTCTCTCTTTTTTTAATCTACAAAAATGTTACTTAATTTTTAAAGGGAGGATTTTGTGTATACAGTGAAGATTTCATGCCAAGCTCTTTGACTTGCAGTGTGGTGACTGGACGTCTACGAGGTGGAGTTTGATTCATTCATCCAATCATCTAGTCATGAAAATGATATAAATTCTGTTAGTGGAACACTGGCAGACAGCTAGTAGGACAGATATAGGAGATGACTTCTGTCATTGGAGAGTTCAGTTTCTCTAGGAAGATACACTAGACATGTACCAAAGAAGCAAAACATTGTAGAGGCTGTAAAATGTTTAGAGGGGCAGACATTTAGTCTAAGAAGACCTGAGCATGTGGTTGTGGTTGTTGTTAAGGGCCGTCGAGTTGCTTGGTTCCGACACATAGAGAGCCTGTATAGGGCTTTTGAGAAGCAGTTGGTGAGTTTGAATCACTGACCTTATGGTTAGCAGTCCAGTGCTGATCCTACATCACTATATCAGTAGTCCATTTTGAACATAGCCTCCCTGTTTCCTTCTTAGGGAGTAGATTAGCAAATGTATCTTGAGCTTCAAGAAGGGATTTTACAAAGGAGGGGAGGCAGAGGGGCTAACTTTGAGTATGCTGCCACCATCAACTCCCAAAATCAGAGGAGAAAGAGATCTTGGTGAAAACCCTAGTTTTATAGATGAGGAATGGCTCAGAGGAATTAAGTGAAATTGTTAGGTGACTTGCTGACAGATCCACAGCTCAAACCAAGGTCTCCTGATCCTAAGCCTAGTGTTTTTCCCTTTACCATAATGAAAAAAAAAAAAAGTTTTTAAATTATATTTCATATATGAGGGTAAATAAAAAATTATCAGCACTCCAACTATAGAGTTTATTTTCATCAATGTTTAGAAAAGACAAATCATTTTTCAACATAATCTTACTTTTCAATACATTCTGTCCGTCTGTCAACAAGTTTTCATATCCCCTTATTTTAAAAAACGTTTTAGACTGAGCTGCAAGCCATGAATGCACCACTATCATGCATTTAGATGTGGATGGGCATTATAAATGGAGTACGGATAAATTTTGACTCACCTCATATATCTACATACATACATATACCTCAAAAGGAAGTTTTTGCAGAACATCAACAGTGTGGGCAGTAGTGTGTGGACGTGCATTGTCATACAAGATTGTAACACCCTTGGAGAGCAGTCCTCTGCATTTAATACAAACTTTAGGCTTCAGCTCTTCAGTGAGCATCTCACTGTAATGAGCAGTGTTGATTGTTGAACCTTTTTCCTGCTAGTGATCCAATACTGGCCCACGAGAGTTCTAGAAAACTGTAATCATCAATTTTCCAGCTGATAGTTAACTTTTGAATTTTTTCTTGGTTGACGATTGAGGATGTTTCCATTCTGTTTATTCTCAGTCTCATAATGGTGAACCCATGTCTCATCACCAGTAATGAATTTTTTAAAGAAACTTTAACCTTTCTTTGAGTACCAGTCCAAATTTTGTTTGTTGATGTCCAAACGCTTCTGTTTATGCTCTTCGTGAGTTGTTTCAGTACCCATCTCATACATACTTTTAGAAACCCACGTCTCTGGTGTAGTATTTCATAGACAGAGTTATGACTGATTTGCAAAATGATTTGTCACATAATCCACTGTCACTTGTTTGTCTATTCTATAGAATCATTTCATGTGCATGCTCAACGTTGTCATCAGTTGTGGACATGGATGAACATTTTAATATAACTGGAGTGCAGATAATTTTGACTCATATATATATGTGTGTGTGTGTTTGTTTACATACATACATATACACTCAAATGTTAAGCTAAGTCAAAAATTTTGCTTCAGAATCATAGCAATCTTATTAAGCAAAAATATGAAAATGTGAAGCTATTTTTTTCTAGACATGTCCACCATCTAGGTCTGTATACTTCTAGATCTATAGACTTGTGAATTTTATGGTTCCATCTCCCTAACCCATTCCTAAAGAACTGTGTCCCTTGATTTATTCCACATCAAAATGGTAGTTTGGGCATCGTTGAGGCACTCAAATGGGTGCCTCTAAAATATTCTTTGATTTGGGGAACAAAAAGAAGACTGAAGGGACAAGATCAGGGCTGTTGTAGGGTAGGTAGGGTAAGGATTCACAGTGAAATCCTCATAAGACAGCCCTTGCTACCCTTGAAGATTAAGCAGGTTTATTGGGATGATGGGAAAAAAATTTCTCAGTGCAACTTTCCTGAAAGTTTTTCACCAATGCATTTTCACATTTTCTTAAAACTTCTTCATAATAAACTCCTATGATTGTCCTGTGTCCTTCAACAAAAAGTCTATCAAGATTGGAGTCCTGGTGTGGCGCTGTAGGATAAGCACTGGACTGCAAGGTCAGTTTGAACCGCAAAGTTGGTCATTCAAACCCACCAGCCACTCCTTGTAAACCCTAAACAGGGTCCTATGAATCAGAACCAACTTACCAGTACTTAAGAACAACAATCCCAAAAAACAGTTGCCGTAACCTTTTGAGCTGACCTCTCTGCCTTGAATTTAACTGGTCTAAGAGATCCCCTCGTAAACCACTCTTTTGATTGGAGGTTTTTTGTTTTGTTTTTTAAGATACCCTAATAAAGAGTGGCTCTGTATGATAAGCACTGAACTGCTAACCAGAAGGTTGGCATTTCAGACCTAACAGTCACTCCTTGGAAGCCTTATACAGGGTCACTATGAGTTGTAACAGACAAGATGGAACTTAACAACAGCAACAAAGAGATTAAGACAAGAGTATTATTAAAGGAGCTCTGGTAGTGTAGTGGTTATGAAT